ACCCTTTACACTGCCACATTCACTGGAGAAGGAGGAGAGGGAGAGAGACAGATTCATTAACATTTGCAATGCAATTTAGTAGAGCTTAAATGTACTTAAGCTTAAAGTACTGCCCTATTTATAGTTCAAACACTCACCACTCCTACAGAGCCTTTAGGGACACTCAGGACAGAGGTAAATTTTGTTTCACAGGCAGGATACGATATCTAGAAAATATCAAATTTTGCCTCAATTATAAAAACATTTAGCATCTATTAAAGATGTAGACAAACTGTTCAACATAGTTCTATGTGTGTTTTAAAAATAAACTAATCATGGTTATTAATTATACATTAAAGCAATTTTCCATCTGATTAAAGCATTACAGATATATGGTAAATTACTACGCACCTTTATCTGAAAAAAAAAATATTCCATGTGGCAACCCAAACCTAATCCAAAAACTTAAAACTAAGTACAATGTTGATAACTGGAATATTACACATCTGTATCCTACCACCAAAATTCTCTTTCAGTAATACTTAGTTACATAATTTAATTTGATCTTTCTGCAAAATAAAATTTACAAAAAGTAAGATAACATATGCAAATCTTCACTAACAAACAAAATATTATTACAACATTAACTTTAATACCACTACAGAACAGCACTAGAGAATTGCTCTGAAGTGACAACAATCTGCCTCTCAGCAGGGACAAGCACCAAATATCTGTAAAGAAAAAGTCAATACATTTCAAATAATTATATTGTCACAATGACCCAGAAAATACAAAAAACTTACAATTTCTCTGGCACTAATGGCTACTGCAGGCCCTTCATACCTTTCTTTTTTTTGTAAAACATTTTTAATAACACCAGTTAACTAAATGCACACAAGTTTGTTGGAAAAGATGTTAACACGCATAATACTGCCCTGCAGCTTAAGCTAGCATTATCGTCACTTAATTTGAGGAATAATTCTTATTTTCCATTATGTTGCTCAACAGCAGTATATACAAAAAAAAAAAAAAAAAGTATATACAAAAAACTACCTCGGTAAAAATTCACACATCTGATAGATTTTATCTTCATTTCCTTTCGAAAATTTAGTTTTAAGTTTAATTTACCTCGACAAAATAGAGCTCTGCGCCAAATGTACGCCTCCCACAAAGAGAAGAAATGGCAGACACCACAGTCAATCTTCCCTCGCAGAACACACCCTATAGGGGCGGGGTTTCAACAGAAAACATAACTATTTTCGATTATTTTAATTGACTTATTTTAAAAGACTGAACAGTCTTTTAAAAACAAGTGAAAAGCGTGAGACTGAATTATGTTTAGATCAAAAATATAAATGATTCATGTAGAATATTTGAAGCGCATATTTGCAAATTTAACAACCTCACAATAGCATGAAGCTTACATTAGCTTGAAGCTAGAGGTTGTCATTTTATTTAATTTTATTTTCTGGGCTTACAAAAAGGACACGCAACATTTAGATAACTGTTACACTGAATTTTAAGTCTGTATTGAGTGTTCTCGCTGCTGGCTGCAGAAGCAACATCATCCTATCAGCATGTTTATAGCGGCTGTGGCTATGTGCTGGTAATGTCACCGCTGACACACTATCAACAGAGATAATAATAAAAACAGATTTTAGAAGAATAAGTTGAACTAAAGCTACAGAAAAGCAAACATTCCATAAATATGACCTTACATGAGCACGAATTTACTTTATTTTGTGGCAGAAGACAGTCGTATCCCTGCCCTATTAGCTTGTTTAATGGTTAAG